GGCAGCAGCGAGAGCATCTTCAAGCACTTTGTTTGCTCCGGGTAGGTGATTCCTGCGGTCGCCAACTTCGCGTAGAGGTCGCGCAATTTGTCCAGGACAGGTTGCACCGGCTCTCCCTCGCTCAGGCGCAACGCGGACAGCTCCCTCTCCAGCATCAATGTTGCAACAACGGAGGTCGGGGCGTGCAGCTCCTTCAACACCGTCCACGCCTTCGGACCGCACTCAACCTCCGGCAGCAGGTGCATGACGTGGTGACGCTGGTTCAGCTCCAAACTCTGCGACATCAAGTAGTAGCCAGCCGAGGCGCGCTCGTCCCAATCTTCCTGAAGGGCGGGGTCACTCGGTCTAGGCTCTTCCCCAATCATTAGTTTCAGCAATCCGATTTGACGGAAATAAAGTTGCATTTTCCAGGCCCAATCATCATAGCCCTCACCATTGAACTTCTCGACGGTGAAGTTTTTCAGCACCTCCTTGATCAGCGAGCCCTGGTTTGTTCGCGCTCCCCTTGGCGCAGAAACACCAGAATCATGGCTGCCGCTACGATCTTGGGCTGAAGATTCACCAGCTACCGCCGAGGTGTTGCCCGCCATAGCTACCTATATCGAGGATCACTATAACGCAGCTCTGATACCAGCTTGTTGGTGTAAGGGCCTAATAAACTCAAGCTATTAAGACTTTATCACACTTAAAACCTCTCCTCGGGGTCACCTCCAAGGGTCCTTGGGTGCCTGGTACAAGACCAGCCCCTATCCTCGGGTCCGAGTTTGTAGAGAGAGGGATCAAGAGGGACTTAGTCAAAACAGCAAGAGTACCTTGAACGTCGCGCAGCGTATCGTGCAGACCGTCGATCGGATTAAGCTGAGAATTTCCTATATCGAAGCTCACTCTAAGAGCTTTAAAATAAGCCAAGTTGCCTCGCGAAAAGTTCTGCCATTACGAAGTTATGGCTCGGACAGCGTTAGCCTAGCGTTGGAGTGCTAGCGTACTAGCGTTGACTCGGGTAGCATTTCGCCGTCGCACCGCGTAGAAAAGAAATTCCAGCAAGGAAGGAATTCGCTTGAATCAATTTTACTATGTTCAGGTACAAACAGAGAAGGAATAAATAGCTCTAGCTAGCAAGGACCTTGGGAATCAACCTGGGAACAACCAGGGATGATCCCAAATAATTCCAAGCAACAGAACCAACCTGGCTGGACAAAATAGCAAGTGATAGGTTGGTGAACAACCTCTGGTTCTGTTTTTCCAACCTGGGGAAACAACAACCAGGTTCAGGTCCTAAAAACAGAACCTGTTTTGTCTTTGCCCAACCAGCCAAATGCTGGTTCCGCTGGTTTCCCCTGGCCCTGTAGCATGCAGATACAGACAAACAACATCCAACCTTCACCTAAATTGTACCCCTATAGTGCCTGCCCTGCTACACTATAGTCAACCAAACAAAACAGTACAATTTCGAGTTGGATAGAACTGAATCTGCGCAATCAAGTAAGTTGAACCGCAAAGCTTCCATCTTGGGTTCCTTTGCGAGCTCGTCCTTTCTGCTTGTACTGTTCATAGCGCGTACAATGTTATGCCGAAGCGCACATTTTGCGAGTACCTGCAAATGCTTCAAGCGAAAATTGCGAAAGCAAACAAACACACAAACATACCATTCACACGCAAATGCATTCGCACACGCATACTCGTACAAACAGACGGCAGGATGTCGTGCAATGTGAATTTGCACCCAACAGAAGGTCGGAGGAAAACTCTCCACCTCTGTCGGAGTGCACACGCAGAGAAGGAAGGTCCGAGTCAAAACTCTCGCTGAGCTGACGATGGGCAGCGCGGATCTAGTCGATCAGCACCTCAGTGACCTCACCCTTGCGGCGTAAGGGGAAGACTGTGGTGTAACGCGAGTAGTCGTCAACGACCAGCATAAAGTAGCGCTCATGACCCTGTCCACGGACGCGGGCGGGGCTCCACACGTCGAGGTGAAGCGTCTACAGCGAAGCCTCTGTCGGAGGAAACTCGGAGGAGTGAGGAGCGGCGCGCTGCCGCCCCTCGACGCAGGGAACGTAGGTAGGGGCAGGCACCGGAGGAAGAGGAGGGAGGGACCGGGGGAGACCAGAGACAAGGAAATGAGAGGCCATGAATCGGAGACGAGGCAGGGAGGGGTGACCAAGGCGGTGGTGCCAGAGGAGAGTCTGGTGAGAGAAGAGACGACACGACCAAGGGGCAGACTCAGGACGAGACCGGGACGCTGCAGCAAACACCTGACCCGACGCGGCTATTAGACTCAGCAACCGGATGAGACACGGTAGTCAGGGAGTACAGGCTCGACCCAGGCTGACAAGTGAACGTGGCCAGGTGCCAGCCCGTCCGAGTACACGAACAGTGGGTCACCGACTGACCTCTAGGAGTGAACTGGTCAACCCACGCGTCCTAAAGGTCAGCTCCACTCACCAAGTTCGTGGAGAACGAGGGGAGGTGGAGGCCAGACAGTGAGCCAGACAGGACCGTCGGACATGGCAGAACCGTGGAGGAGTGTGCAAAGACTGGACCCCCAGAGGGGTCACCCAGAGAGACTGCCACTGGCCGACTGAGCGACGAGAGTGTGGTGCAGTCGTGAAAGAAGGAGCGGGAAGCACCCGAGTCAAGGGTGAAAGTATGCAAGGCCGCAGCAGCGCAGTACCAGAGAGAGCAGACTCACCAGTACCTGGAGCAGCAGACTCACTAGCACCTAGAGCAGCAGCCTCACCAGCACCTAGAGCAGCAGACTCTATACCTGGGTCAGGCGGTACGCATAGGTAAAAGGCACCCTCAACACTAGTGGGCAATGCATGCATGGCAGTGAGGATAGCATCATAGTCAAGAGCAAAAATATCGACCCTCTGCCTAAGTAGCTCCATCCAGGTGGGGAGCTTAGCCTTGTCGCCAAACTCGGTACGCAAGGCGTCGCTCAGACGGGCGAAGGAGCGAGACTGTGTGTGACCAACCGTCGTGCAAGCCTGACCAGCACGATCACCTGTCCGAATGATGTAGGTGCAGCGAACGGTAATCTGAGACCCTCTACTCTGAGCGTACCACTCACGAAGCTGCTGGGGCGTAAGTGGCTCGCGCGGACGCCGCTGCAGCTGCATCTGGCCACTGCCAGACGTTCCCGACTGACCAGCTCCAGGGCGACAGCCACGACGGCCACCGCCACAATCCCAACTAGCGTACCGCGCGGCAACTCCAGACACAGCAGGGACAGCACCGGAACCCTCAGCGGCAGCACCAGCGCCAACAGCACCTCCAGCAGCATAACCTCCAGCAACACCTGCAGCACCCACAGTAGGACCACCGCCAGGAAGGACAGCAGCAGTCTCAGCACCAACACCCTCAGCAGCTCCAGCGCCAGGCGGACCCGAAGAAGCTCAAGCTCCAGCAGTACGCCTCCAGCGGCGAGCCAACCACTTGCGCAGCTCCTGTGGAGAGAGTGGCTCCCGCCGAGACGAAGCACCCGGAGAGCCTCCAGGCCCCGCACCGCCAGACGCCAGAAGGGGAGGTCCAGTGGCCGTAGGCTCCGCAACTCCAGGCTCAGCAGCACCCCCTGGCTCAGCAGCTCCTGACGTGGCACCCCCAGGCTCAGCACCCCCAGTCTTAGCACCCCCAGGCTCAGCACCCCCAGACTCAGCACTCCCAGGCTCAGCACCCCCAGGCTCAGTACCCCCAGTCGCAGCACCCCCAGGCTCAGCACCCCCAGGCTCAGCACCCACGCGCGCAGCACCCCCAGAGTCAGCACCCCCAGGCTCAACACCCGCAGCAGTACCAGAGTCACCAGCAACCTCGACCGGCTCGACTGCGTCTACCTGGGACACACCTGAAGGGGCAGGACCCTGAGGAGGAAGGGGGTCTACCTGGGGGGGACCTGGCACAAAGAAGTGCGGTGGCGGGGGGAGGGAAGGAGTGCGGTAGGGGAAGAGGCGGTAGAAGGGGACTGACTCGTCGAACGTGACGTCCTGGGAGGACAGAACACGACGAGAGGAGGGGTGGTAGAACTGCCACCCTGGGGCGTCAGGGGGGAAGCCTAGGAAGACACAGGGAGCAGAACGAGGGGACAGCTTGTCCGCAGACAAGTCGCGGACAAACGCCCGAGATCCCCAGACACGGAACGCAGACGCATCGCCGACCTTCCCCGTCCACAGCAGAGCTGGGGAGGTCTCCGGCCTGGAGACCCTGGGGTGAAGGTTGATCTGATGCGCCGCGTACCGAACCGCAAACGGCCACAGAAAATGGGGGGCAGCCGCATGCACCATGGACGTACGAGCGACGTCCATGACCATGCCAATGTGGCGCTCAGCAATCCCATTTTGCTGTGGAGAGTCCGGAAGCGTGAAGGTCTGGCGGATGCCTCGTGCACGACAGTAGGCTCGCAAAAGGCCAGATGAGAACTCTCCACCTCGGTCAGAGTGCAGACGCAGGACAGGAAAGTCCGAGCCGAAGCTCCTCCTGAGCTGGAGACGAGCAGCGCGGATCCAGTCGGTCAACACCTCAGTGACATCACCCTTGCTGCACAAGGGGAAGACTGTGGTGTAACGCGAGTGGTCGTCAACCACCAGCAGGAAGTAGCGCTCGTGACCCTGTCCACGGACGCGGGCCGGGCCCCACACGTCCATGTGAAGCGTCTGCAGAGGAGCCTCTGTCGGGGGAAACCGGGAGGAGTGAGGGGCAGCCCTAAGCTGCCCCTCGACACAGGGGACACAGGAAGGTCCTGGCCCCGAAGGAAGGGGAGGGAGAGACCGGGGGAGACGAGAGACAAGGACACGGGAAGCCATGCCCCGAAGACGAGGCAAGGAGGGGTGGCCAAGACGGTGGTGCCACAGGAGAGTCTCGTGAGACAGGAGGCGACACGAGCAGGGGGCAGACTCAGGACCAGACCTGGACGCGGCAGCAAACACCTGACCCGACGCAGCTACCTGACCAGACGCAGTGACTGGAGTAGACGCAGTGGTCAGTGTGTACAGGCTCGACCCCGGTCGATGTGTAAACGTGGCCAGGTGTCGGCCTGTCCGAGCGTCCGTGCAGTGGGTCACCCGCTGACTCGCAGGAGTGAACTGGTGAACCCCCGTATCCTGCAGGTCCTTACCACTCACCAAGTTCGTCGAGAACGAGGGGAGGTACAGACCAGACAGGGTGCCCGAGGGGGCAGCCGGACACGGGAGGACAGTGGAGAAGTGAGAGAGGACAGGGCCCCCAGAGGGGTCAGCCAGGGAGACTGCGTGAGTGTGGTGCGGTCTCAAAAGAAGGAGCGAGAAGCCCCTGAGTCAAGTGTGAAGGTGAGGGAGGCCGAAGCCGACGCAGTACCTGAGAGCGCAGCCTCACCAGTACCTGAGAGCGCAAACGCACTGGCACCTAGAGCAGCAGCCTCACAAGCACCTAGCGCAGCAGTACCAATGCCCGGGTCGGGTGGGAAACACCGGTAACAGTCACCCTCATCACTAATAGTCACAGCATACATGGCAGCAAGGATAGCATCAAAGTCAAGATCAAAGATAGCTACGCCAGCCCTAGACAGCTCTCCCCAGCGGGGAATCTCACTAGCCTCTGGGAACTGCTGACGCCAAGCGTCCGTCAGGCGGCCAAAGCAGCGCTGGGTGGGGTGGGCACCCCCACATTGCTCACCCGCGTGGTCGTCGGAACGAAGGACGTAGGTGCACGGACCAAAACCCCCACCACGCTGACGCTGCGCGTACCACTCACGGAGCTGCTGAGGCGGGGGGATGTCCCGAGAACGCTGCTGCTACTGCTGGCGCTGACCACCACCAGAGCCGCTCCGCTGCGGGGCACCACCTCGACCAGCTCCACCCCCTCCGCCACCGCCGCCTCCACCTCCGCCACCACCGCCGCCTCCGCTCCCACCGCTGCCGCCGCCACCACCTCCGCCTCCGCTGCCGCCACCACCACCACCACCCCCGCGACCACTCCCACCGCCACCCCCACTCCCTCCGCCGCCTCCACCGCCACCTCCACCGCCCCCGCCAGCTCCACCCGCGCCCTTGCCCCCCTTGCCCTTGCCAGGTCGGCGTCTCCCGCTAGGGGCAGACGCCGCGCCGACTGACTCAAGACCAAGCAGGTCGGCAGCAGCAGCAGAGGCAACAGAGGGCAGCAGGGGGGAAGGAGAACACCCCTCAAAAATGGGGGTGCGAGGGTCACCCCGAGAGGCTCCTACAGCGACGATGCTCTTCTCCGCCGCCAGGAGGGCCTTCTTGAGGAGGTCAACAGTGAGAGTGGTGGGACAGACAGAGAGAAAGTGGTCCCTGACTACGCGAAGGGAGTCAGGGAGGCGTGTGACTATGTAATAGAGAGTGATGTACATGGGGGGGGGGGGGTTCTTGGCGCAGAACTCAGCAGGAAGTGCGGCGCGGTAGCGAGTGTCACTAGTGCGGAGGTGCGTAATGAGGTCGGCGACTGTGGGAAAGGCAGCAAGGTCACGAAAGAGGTACGGTAGCATGAGGCGGCTCAGTGCAGCAGTGGCAGGAGAAGAGTAGCGCGCAACTACAGCGTCGTACAAGGTCTGAGCACTCTTGTACTGACTAAAGTGCGCGCGCTCAGTGGTAGGCAGGTGGCGACGCACAGCAAGACGTGCAGCAGCATCGCGGGTGGCCCACTGAGAGCGAACAGTGGGGTCAGCGTCAGTAGCAGGGGCAGGAGAGGCGCCAGAGGTGAGGTCAAAGAGAGAAAGACCGTCCGCCCTATCGCACTGTAAAAACAGCTGCAGGTCGTCGACCCAGACCTCAAAGTCAATGGCTCGACCCTCAGCGTCAAAAGTGAGGACACTAGGGGTAGCCATGACGACGATAGACTAGCAGTGCAAGCAGTAGGGGAAGGGCACGCAGTGACAGTGGGGCTGCGCTCACCGGACAGGGCAGGTCGGGCGGCTCGGTAGTAGGGCGGCTCGGCTGCTGGGCGGCTCGGCGGCTGGGCGGCTCGGCGGCTCGGCGCTTGGCTGCTGGGCGGCTCGGCTTCTGGGCGGCTCGGCTGAACGGCGGCTCGGCTGGTGGGCGGCCAGGCGGCTCTGCAGTTGGGCAGCCCGGCTCCTCCGGTACTCGGCGGCGCGGCGGTCAGCTGCTCGGGTGCATGGTGCAGGGTGGTGCTGCGGTCGGCGGCTCGGGTGGCGGTCAGGAGAGGAGAGTGGCAGTGCCGCAGCAGACGGGCGGCGGGGTCAGTAGAGTCGGGCGGCGGGGCCGAGAAGTGTAGGGCGGCGGGGCCGCGAGGTGTAGGGCGGCGGGGCCGCTAAAGCAGGGCGGCGGGGCCGCGAGGTGTAGGGCGGCGGGGCCGCTAAAGCAGGGCGGCGGGGCCGCGAAGTGTAGGGCGGCGGGGCCGCTAGGTGTAGAGCGGCGGGGCCGCTAAAGCAGGGCGGCGGGGCCGCGAGTTGTAGGGCGGCGGGGCCGCGAGGTGTAGGGCGGCGGGGCCGCTAAAGCAGGGCGGCGGGGCCACGAGGTGTAGGGCAGCGGGGCCGCGAGGTGTAGGGCGGCGGGGCCGCTAAAGCAGGGCGGCGGGGCCGCGAAGTGTAGGGCGGCAGGGCCGCGAATCAGGGGCGGCGGGGCCGCGACAGTAGGGCGGCAGGGCCGCTAAAGCAGGGCGGCGGGGCCGGTAAAGCAGGGCAGCGAGGCCGCGAACGCGGGGCGGCGGGGCCGCGACAGTAGGGCGGCATGGCCGCTAGGGGAGGGAAGGCCGCTAGGGCGGCTCGTCGAGTTAACAGCCCGAGGCGCGACTCGGGATGAGCGCGCTTCGGGCAGTAAAAAAAAATCAAAGTGGTGGGCCCTAAGCGCAGTTCCCACAGGGGAACCTGCTCGATACCATGAGAGAAGTTGAACGAGAATGAGAATGACTAAGTGAAAGTTGGGTACAAATGCAAACCCTAGAAAGCTGTACCCCATATGTGCTACCCCATTATAGCCTACAATAGCTATGTCATATATATCTGACACCGGGTTCTCCGCCTGTCTTCAAGGCGCGTTACGTGGCTTGAGGCTTCAGACAGTGGCAGGGAGTTGACTACTTTCATACCTTCTCTCCCACCCCGAAGATGACCACTCTTCGGGTGCTGCTGCACATAGCCGCTCAGCGCGACTACGAGCTTCACTCTCTTGACTTCAGCACAGCTTTCCTGCAGGGCAGCCTGCACGAGGAGATCTGGCTGCGCCGCCCACCTGGCTTCACTGGGTCGTTTCCTCCTTGTACCTAGTGGAGCCTCCGGCGGCCAGTCTACGGTCTCCGCCAGGCGCCCCGTGAGTGGCACGACACACTGAGGACTACACTTGCGGCTCTTGGGTTTGCTCCTTCTACTGCCGACCCGTCGCTGTTTCTGCGCACCGACACCTCTTTGCCGCCATTCTACATCCTCGTGTACGTCAACGACCTGGTCTTTGCCACTGCTGACACTGTTGGACTCGCCCACGTGAAGTCCGAGCTGCAGAAGAGACACACGTGCACAGACCTGGGTGAACTGCGCAGCTACCTTGGCTTGCAGATCACCCGGGATAGAGCACAACGCACCATTACCCTGACTCAGTCACACATGGTGCAGCAGGTCCTTCAGCGCTTCGGCTTCACGTACTCCTCGCCTCAGGCCACTCCTCTGTCTACTCGCCACTCGCTCTCAGCTCTGCCTTCGGATGAGTCCGTAGAGTCGAGTGGCCCGTACCCAGAGCTTGTTGGCTGCCTCATGTACCTGATGACCTGCACACGACCTGACCTTGCATACCCTCTTAGCATTCTTGCACGCTATGTTGCTCCTGGGAGACACCGACCAGAGCACATGGCTGCAGCGAAGAGGGTGTTGCGCTACTTGTGCAGTACGTCGAGCATGGGGCTAGTGCTTGGAGGGCGCAGTCCAGTGGTCCTCACTGGGCACGCATACGCTTCTTGGGCTGACGACCAGGCTACGCAGCGGTCGTCACAGGGTTACACCTTCAGCCTTGGCTCCGGCTCTGTTTCGTGGCGGTCTACCCGCTCGTCTTCTGTTCTCGGCTAGGCTGAGATCTACGCGGGGGCCATGGCTGCACAGGAGCTACGCTGGCTCACCTACCTGCTGAGTGACCTAGGAGAGCCGCCTCGTTCTCCTCCAGTTCTGTACGTAGACAACAAGGCCATGCTGGCCTTGTGTCAGGAGCACAGATTGGAGCACAGAACGAAGCACATTGCTCTTCACTACTTCTATGCTCGTGAGCTGCCGCAGCGTGGTCAGTGATGAGGTGAGCGAGGGGGTTCACGAGTGTGTGGGGGTCGTCCGAGGTGAATGACGACGCGGGGTGACTCTTCTCCGTGCTCAGCTTTCATCTCCCGTTCAGCTTCCTCCAGTTCTTCTTGCGTGAGCTCCCTTTGTCGGGTTCGGCTGTTCCCCATCCTCCCGTGGTGACCGTGTCGCTGGCGCTGGCTCCCCATGCTCTAGTGGCGGATGTCCAGGTAGCGTCTTCTTCTGGTTCGTAATCTTCATCCCCCCATGCGCCTCGTCGTGCTGAATCCTCATCCCATCCTTCCGCAACGCGCTGTTCGTACAGCTTTTGTTTCTTTTCTGTCTGGGCCTTGTCTTGTTCTTCCTTGACGCTCAGCTCTCCTTTTGCGTTAGGGTCCTTCCAAGCCGGATCAATTTCACGGCGGTAGATTTCGCGAGTGTACGGGCGCGGTCGTCCGTCTTCGTCGAAGGTGCTGGTGTTAGCTTCTAGGACGAACCGGAGCGTTTCGGAGTATGGCCCTGTTCGCTCCACTCGCTGATGTCGGAAGTCATCGTTTGCCTCGCCGAAGATGCCCTAAGACGACACAGCGAGTTCTTCTGCAGCCATGCCTGTTGGTTCCGCCTCGGCACTCTCAGCTTCCAGGATTGCCGCATACTCCTTTTCGACTTGCTTTGTGCGGCTCGCCGTAGGTGTGTGACAGGTGGTGCAGAGACCATTGATGTCTGGCTCGTGCAGGTTGATCTCGCGGGGATGAGGGCTGCAGCGAACCCACAGTCGTTCGTCTGGGTGCTCCCATGCTTTCTTGTCTATGTAGGCGAACTCGAGAGGAACGAGGTCCACGAGCTCGTCGGACAATGCTTGGCAGGATGGTATGTCGAAGTCTAGGACGTAGATCCCGTTAATTGGGCGGGCTCGTCCGAGGTACTTGAATGATTTGGGAGGGGTGTCCAGGGGGGCGTAGGTGAGGATAAGGTCACGTGTGGCCAGGTCCGTGGTGAGAATGACACCGCAGTCGCGAAGTTGCTCTACCGAGAGGAGATTAAAGCGGAGATCCGGGACGTAAAGCACGTCGTTAAAAGAGATGTGTGTGTTGCTGTCTCGTGCTTGCAGGACGACAATGCCTTTCACGTTGGCACGCAGTTGATGATTGTTGGCGACCGTGACGTAGGTGGCGGGGGCGCGGCTCAGGTTTGATACGTATCGCGTGGATCCCACCATGTGCTGTCTGCAGCAGCAGTCCAGGTACCAGGTGTTGTGGTTGTCAGTGTTGTTTCTTCTCAAAAGTAGCGCCAGTCGCGGAGTCACCAGGGTTGTTTTGTAGCGCCTGTAGAAGAAGGGGTCTTTGTCTTACTTCCATCCCACCGGTACGTAAAGTTGGTTGTCATGTGGCGAGCTTTCCCGCAATGTGATTGGCTGATTCCAATCCTGCTCGTCTTCATCATACGGGTAGTAGTGATCTTTAGAGAGGGGATTATTCCAACCCTCTTTTGGCTCAAGGAGTCTTCCTTGGATCTCGTTCTCTTCGTCAAGTTCAGCAGTGCGACGTTGTCGCATCGCCATATTTGCGATGATGTTTCTAGGAGCTCCTGATTGAGGTCCTTGATTTTGCTGATGTTGATGTTGTGTAGGAGGACGAGGTGTTTGATGCTGAGACTGAGAATGACGAGTGTCTTGTCGGCCGACCCAGTTGTTGTGGTGAGTGGAATTTGGGTGGCGATAGTTGGATCTGTGAAGAAACGAGAATGAATGAACTAGCAAGCATGTGGGTACAAGTAGGAAACCCTAGAAATGTTGTACCCCATATTGTCTACCCCACTACAGCCTACACAGACTATAGCATATAAGTTTGACACACCCCCATAGGCAAATTGGGGGAGAA